TATGAGCCAATCAGTGGCAGTAATGACAGAGCATGCGCTGTTACGCAAAAACCGCGATAGAGTGAAGCCGCGGAAGTCAAAGCGCGAAGTGGCGAGGGTTCACTGTATTTATTTATTTTTTTTACAACACAACCTTCCCGCCTTCAAAGGACTCTCCGTTGACACTGCATACATTTGTCTAATCCACGATTCCATTCTTGGGAACATTTTTTAAACTCCTGTTTGGATGGCTGACAGCACCTCCCTCAGCCTTAGAAGCTCCTTAGCAGCGAGAAGGGTGAGACCTCATCACCGAAACGGTGGCCATGCTGTCAGGACAGGCCCGTCCGGGAGAAAGCCGCCCTTCTTGGTGCCGGAGAGGGCCAGTGAGGGTGAAGAAGAAGGTCCCCCGTGAGACAGGCTGGCACGGTGGCTGCAGCAGTGGGCTCACACCTGGCGGTAGTGGAGAGGATGGTGCAGGACAGGGCCTGTCGGTCACGTTGAGTGAGAGCTGACGTGGTAGCAACTGCAATGTGCTGTTTATGCAAGTCGTTTGCTCATATCTGTTTATCATAAGAAGTTCTGGTTATACGTCTCTTATCAGATAGATGATCTGCAAATGTTTTCTCCCAATCTGTGTGTTTTATTTTTTTATTCTTACTGCTTTTTAGAACCGAGCTGAGTTACAAAAATCTACCGCCCTATCACTTGTTTTTAACAGAGAATCGTGGACACCCATCAATGTCAACAGAGAGCTACCTCATTCTTCTTCTTCTTTTCTCTAACATCCCCCCACGCCCCAACCTTTTTTTCAAAGACTGCATAGCATCTATGGTGGCTGTACTGCGACTTACTTGACTAGAACTCTACCGAGCTTTTAAAAGTCTCCTGTTCATGGGTTGGTTAGGGCCTGTGATGCAGTAGGTCCGGGCCAGGAGAGGCCGCCGTCTGATGAGTTGCCTGCTCTTAGATGATAGGAACATTTAAGTAGGCACAGGAAACATCGCTAACCTGCTTAGACTTCCTCTCAGACCCTGTGGTTTCACAACCCCTACAGGCACCCTCCCACCCCGCCCCCAGTGTCACCAGCTTCTCATGGGAAAGTCTGGGTGAGAGGCCCCAGGGCATTATCGTTTCCCTCTTCCACCCTGCCTAGCTTGCTGCCAACCCCCAGAGCCCTCGAAGCCTGGGCCCTGGGTCCGCTGGGCCCTGAGGACCTGGAGAGATGGAGACTTGCCACATCACCCCCACGAGGCTGCTGTTGGCTGCATCGTTTCTCTTGGGTAGGCGAAGGAGAAAGGGAGGGGAGGATGGGCCAAGGTCGTGTGTCTGTGAAGCAGAGAAACTCACAGACTTGAGTGGCCTCGGGCAGGCGAGGAGTTGCTCTGAGGGTGTCCCTGGCCGGAGGGAATGTTGAGTCCGAAGGTTCTGGAGGAGGAAAGGGGAAAAGAACGAGAAAGGAAGCCGGAGGCAAGATGTGGGAGACACAGAGCAGGGGGACGAGAGATGGTGGTGGATGGGGATAGGAGGTGGGGCTACTGGCAGAGGGTGCACGGAGATCTTGCCTTGGAGGAGGGCGCTGGATTCCGCTCCTGTCCATTGTCCTATCCCCCTGCCCCCACCCCCACTTTGATTGTAGGGAAGACAATCCTCCCATCCTACAATTGTAGGGAAGGCTTTTCCTCTCTCTGGGCCTCTGAACAAAGAAGAGGCTGGTGTCTCTGGCCCCCTAGGATGCAGTGAAATGAGCATCCTGATGCTCATGATGCGGTGAAATGAGCCTGGGCCGTGGCAGGAAGGCAGGACCACAGAGAACAGGTTGGCATTTGCAGATGCCACCTCTAGGCTGTAGGACTTGGGATGGAGGAGTCTGGACTCCCATGGGGAAGAGGGGTGGGTGGGAGCATCCACCGAGTGAGGAGTACCAGGGCATCGTGAATCCCCAAGGATGCCCGAGCAGGGCTGAAGCCACTTGCCTGACTGCTCAGGAGCATCAGGACTCTGAGTAAGGAAAGTGGGGGTGTGCGCGGTGCACCTTGCCCTGGGGCGTCCTCCTCCGGTCCCTGCTGGAGAACCTGACCCCTCCGTGCATCAGGGAGGAGGGGGCCCTTCAGGCTGTCCCACTCTCCAGAGTCTTAGCATCTTTCCTTCTTTGCCGAGGGGCCACCAGGAAGTCCCTGGGTTCTTCCCAGGCCCCAGTACCACCAGGGGTCTTGGTGGAAGGGGGTTGCTGCTTCCACATTTCAGAGACCAGGCTCCTGGGGGCAGGCTCGGCTCTGTCTCACCCAGCTGTGGGGGGCCTGGAGGAGGCAGGCTTGTTTTACACCTGCTCGTGAGCTCTGGTGGTGTTGTGGGTTACGCACACACGTGACTGCTCACCACATAGTCCAAGCCGCCAGCTTCTCCTTGGGAGAAAGATGAGCCTGTGTGTCCCCGGTCATTGACAGTCTGCCCTCTGGAATCGCTATGCGTTGGAATGGACTTGGTGGCAGCAAGGTTGGGTTTGGGACAAATCTTTTGGAGTCCCATCTCTGGGAAGCCTGTGGCTCAGTGCCCACGGTTCTTGGAGCACACGAGGGTACCCCCCAGGCCACCTGACTGATGTCCCTTTGTCTCCTTCAGCACCTGCCTTGAGTTACAACCTGGATGTGCTGCAAATACAAAATTTCTCTTTCCAAGACTCCGGGAGGCATTTTGGGTACCGTGTACTGCAGGTTGGAAATGGGTGAGCAGCCCCCTCCCAGTCTTCCCGGC